TCTCCTTTGAGCTTCAAGTTCTCATGTGCAATGTGAAAGTCAAGAGCATATGGCTGTATCACCAACACAAATCTCTCCTTTGAGCTTCAAGTTCTTATGTGCAATTGCTAATGAGTATTTCAAATTGGATATATAGCAAAGATACCCAAACAGTCTGTCTAAAATCAAGTTCTCTATTCAAGTATCTCTTACCTGAAAATCTTATTCTTCCTCTGATTTTCTTCATCTTGGTAAATGGTACCACTATCCAACTACTGCTCAACCCAGAAACATGAATATCCCTCTGATCCCTCCTTCCCCTCTAATCCATCACTTAGTCTTTCTGATTTTACCTCCAAAACATATCTTAATCTGTCTACTTTTCTCCATCTTCACTGCCACCAGTCTTTTTGAAGATAACGGCATCTCTCACCTGAATTATCATAATAGTGTCCCAACTGGTTGTCCTCTTGGTACTCATGTCATTACTCAATTCATTCTCTACACAGCAGCATGGGTGAACTTCTAAAATAAAAAATAGGATTTTGGCATTCCATGCTTAATATCTTTTAATGATTTCTATCACACGCACAATAAAATTCAAGCTCCTTTGAGCTCTGTTCAAAGGCACCAGCCTACCACTTCAACTTCATCTTTTGCCACTTTTCCCCTTATTCATTGTGCTCCAGCCACATCAGCCTTTGTTCATTTCCTGACTTTTTCCTACCTTAGAGCCTTTGCAAATGCTGTTCCCTATACTTTGAATTCTCTTCCCTTTACTTTCAGCATCACTGTCTCCTTATCATATCTTTCTGGGCTCAGCTTCTTACCTCCTCAAAGAGGTATACCACCCAATCAAAAACAGCCTCAATTTTTTTCTTCCTAGCAATTTATATTTATTTATTTACATTTACACTGTTGGTCTCTTCCACTAATATGTAAGCTCCATGAGAGCTGGCACTGTGTCTGCTCTGTTCACCATGTTATAACTAGTGCCCAGACCAGTATCTGGCACATAGTAAATGCTTGATAAATTATTTGTTGAAAGGATGCAGATATCCATTTCAACTCTGTGGTTTCCAATCTAATTCTAATGCATATTCAAGGTCCCATCCCAACAGGCTAGCAGAAAGGTT